GGTCGGAGACTTCTAGGGACCTAGCTTTTGAGTGTCTAGTCTCTTCCTCTCCCAGCACTGCGAGTGAGAAGCCGCAGCAGCGCAGAGCCCGAGGAGGCCCTCCCAGCTCCCTCAGCCACCCTAGCAGAGCTCCTTTCTGAGTGCCCATTTGTTTTTTTAAAAATGGCGAAAGAATACTGTGTAGCACCTGAAGACTGGAAAATAATCAAAAAAGGAAATGCCTCCAGAGTCCTGGCACTGTTCATGCCAACTGCAGTGGCACTGTTCCTTGCTTTCACCATTCCATGGCGTAGATCCTCACGAGGAGAGAGATTACCCCTTTGTGGAAGTTGTATGCAATGGGACTGAATGTGCATTGGTTTGTGCTTCTTGTTTCCTAGGTCTTGGGAGGCAGAGAAAAATCACATGGCCAATATTTTTTAGTTCGCAAAACATTAAACTGTGGATATTAACATTTGACCCTCCCTCAAAAAAAGACCTAAAGACCACGTTCTGGAAGACAAGACTTGGGAATCACTCGGTCCCCCTTGTGGACCTGGTGCAGAGTGGACTTCAGCATGGCTCTGTGTTTACAGTTTCAGCCTTACTCAGGGAGCAGAGCGTCCCAGCTCTCTGCAAGGTGTTGCTGGACCCCGCAGGGACAGCTCAGAGGGAACCACTTTGTGCAGGACTGGTGTCATAGCTGCTTTTCTCCTGCTGAGGCAAAATACCTGAGGGAGGAAAGGTTAATTTAGCTCATGGTTTGTGGCAGTTTCAGTTCATGATCAGCTGGCTCCAAGGCAGGGTGGCACGTGGCACAGTGGCAGCCGTTCATGGTGGTGGAAGATAAAACAGCAACAACAGAGAGACAAGCCTCTTTCCAGCCCTTATATTATATCCCGTCTACCGGGATTCGGGCGGTGCCACACCACTCAATGCGCTGATCCAGCAGTCACCCACCCTTAATCCCAGCATTGCACTACAAATCAATCACACACCCTAGATTCAAGCACCTCCAGAAAAACTCTAACCCTATGAGGCTTTGAGGGACACATCTAGACACAAAATTAACAGCCAGACTGAGCCATTCCGTCAAAAGTCCCCAAAGAACTGTTCACCCGTATTTTATTCCTGGTGTTCAGACCTGTCCTGTGAGCACAGGCCTGCTTCATGCATCCCACACCTGCCCACACAGTATCACAGTGGCTACCGAACTCGCGGCCCTGGTACACTTTACCCCAGGGGTGCTGCAGCTGTGGGTTGTGTGTCACGGCTGTCCTCATTTGTATCTTCATTATTTCTCTAACTTTGCGTGGTTTTTCTGGCTCTGCAGTCATCCCAGGATTCCCCCTCAGCAAGGAAGTGATCTCAGAGGAGTCAGTCCTGGGGGCTTGCACTGTCGGGTCTTCTCCGGGATGTGAGACTGAGTGGTGCACTGTAGGGTCATCGGGGGCCTGTCACTCACTTGCCGACCTCTCCTCGTGGCTGGTGACCTTCAGCTGGGGTGAAGCGGGTCCCGCCTCCATTAGCCCTTTTCCTCCCTGGAGCCTTTTTGCTGTCGCATTGTACAGTTGAGGACCTTTATCTACGGTGCTGCAGACCAGAAGTGTTTCAGGTTTTGGAGTTTTTTAGATTTTGGAATATTTGCATAGACTTCAGTGGTTGAGCATCTGAAATGCCCTAAAGCTCAACATGTTCCAGATTTCAGAGCATGTCAGATTTTGGGTTTTCAGATTAGGGCTGTTCAACCTTTCATTAGCCACAGTGGTTGATCTGTGGAGCCTCCATCATGTCCTCCGTCCTGGGTGACTCCTGGGCCCCAGGCAGGTGCAGACAGACTTTGAGACTGTTGGGGTGCCCCTGGCGTCCTGCTGCCCAGGAGCACGGACAGGGCCACTGGCAGCTTCACACTGTGGATTAACTCACTTTGAGCTTTGCTACCCATCCAAAATTCCACCCTTTGTAAGTTGGATAACACTCTATCCAAGTGTCTCCATTCAAGACACTGAGAAGAATGTTGAACAAGGTAGGACGCAGAAGCCCCACAGAGAGCACTGCAGCTCCTTGGTGACAGTCCCTAGGACCCTTCCACTGGAATCTCTCAGTGAGTTGTTCGTCCCCACGGCTCAGCCCCCACCCTTTGTTGACCCCAGCACAGGCCACCTGCACATCCAAGTGCACATGGTGGCCCCCGTTGGCAGTGTTGGGGCAATGAGGAAAAAAACGGAGCACAGGGTGGCCCTGGCCGGGCATTCATCTGTGATCTGAGAAAGCGACGTTTCCCTAGGATGGGCAACTGATAACTGGGATGGGAAGAGGGCGCTGCAAGGCCACATGCAAAAGCATGGGACGCAGCTTTGTGCCAGAAACAGGGAGAGGAGGCGCCTCTGGTGGGCAGAGCGAGAGAAGCAGCTGCTGCCTGCAGGGCGGGTGTCCCAGACAGAGGTCCATCCCTAAGAGGCGTCCGCTTCACGGTACAGTGACGAAGTCATTGCTGAACCCAGGTACAAGAAGGTACAGGCGGCCCAGTCAAGGAAGCAGGCGGTGTAGGGGAGGAAATGAAACAAACTGCAAGGAGAGATAGAAATGATTAGTGACATGGAAGAGACTGGAAAGGAAACTGGTGCCCAGAGTCAGCGAAAGAAGAGCAGCGGTGGGAGAGGTCTGAAAGGTGATTGGGGCAGCAGCATGGGACAGGTGCTGCAGGGAGCGTGTTCACACACTTGCAAGAAATAGAGTCTGAGCTTCCTGCGAACACGTAGCTCTGCTCCCTGAGTAAATTTTGCATGCACAGGTGCGTCTTGTTTACATAATTAATGGGGCAAAGCCAAACGGTACTTCGGCAGTTTCTTCTGAAAGTTTTGTCTTTGCGTGAAGTATTGAGAGTATTAATGGTGGAAGCAGCCACTGCTTTAGCGTGAGACAAACAATATAGAAGTTCCCAGGACACCTCACCGGCTCTGCGCTGTCCTCATCGCGTGGTGTTTTGTCGTGTGCGTGTGCGTGTCACGTCCTGCTCCCTGCCCCTACACCCAGCCTGGCACCTGAAATGCAGTGGGGGTGGGAGCTGGGAGCCAGGGCCCACGTGCCACACCCATATCGAGCAAGCCCAGTTCTTTGCCTCCAGATCCAGGGAATGGAGCTCCTGCTTCTGGTTAGAGGCTCAGAAGCTTTGTGGCAGATCAGCATGCAGACATCTAACTGGGAAGCTAATGGTTGTAATTTTTTCACATGACAACCCAATAAATCCTGATCACAAGGAGCTTTTATGTGAGCATTTGAATTCCACAGATTTAAGAAGACGCCAGGCTGTTGAGTAGGTCTCCTAATGAGCAGTCGCCACGGTCCACCCATGAATTACCAAGTTTTCCTTATGGCCTGTGAATTATGTGGTTCTTTACTCCCCCCACCTGTCAGGTCACTGGGAGAGTTTTGCATAAAATACATGAATTGGGGGCGCTGTCGTACAAGGATCTGTGTGGAAAAGGTTGTAATTCATAGGGGTAGGACATAAAAGCCAATAGATCAAAAGGCCACACTTTTAAAAACCCACAGATGTGGCTCGGCCAGTAATTGCAAGGTGTAATCGCAGGTCAGCCATGGAGAAACCTGTGTGGAAGTCACAGTGAGTATTTCACTCTGAACTCTTGCCGCGAGGTCTGCACACATTAGGAACCTAAGAGGTTGGGAAACGCACATATGTTACCCTAAGGGAGCCAAGGACTCCCCAAGTCTCCTGCCTCCTGCTGAGCCCAGCCCCTCTCGGCCACTGGTAGGGGGTCAGAAAGCACAGCTGCCAGAGCCCAGGCCCGAGCCCACCAGCTCCAGCCGTCACCCCTGATGCGGCAGCTTTAACCTTTGAGAGGCGGGGGCCCTGGACCAGGAGCACAGTGTCTTGGCTCCAAGAAGGTGGCTGCCTGTTGTCTCCTGAGACTCGGGAACAGGACAGAGAGGCTGCTGTGGCTTGGAGACAGGAGACAGGGAGTGACATCAGGTCCCGACTGAATCCAACGCTGCGGGCACAGGGCGAAGAGCTGAGTAGCCAGGCTTGGCAGAGGCTGGAGGAGCCATAGGCAGCTAGGTGGTTGGCATTGCTCATAGCAATAACCACTTGCCGGGTGGTTATTATGCTGCTGCTGAGACCTGGTGCCTAAGATTGAGTGCCAGTGAGACCTGGCACCTAAGAGCCATCTCAGGTTTCCCGCTGGCTGGTTGTCATTGGTCTCATTCTCTGTTGGCAGGGCTTGGGCTGGGCTGGCAATGGCAGTAAATGGCCAGTGGTCCTCATGGAAGGGCTCCTCTGGGCCAAGCTGGTGACCACCACATCTCACAGGTAGAAGCAGTCTGCATCTCACGGGAGAGCAAAGCCAGCCTCTGGTGTGGAAAACCTGTGCAGAGCCTCATTCGGGCACACAGTGGTATAGGATGTGGGCACAGCCCCTTCCTCCCCAAGCCAGCCAGGGGCCCCTGGGTGCCTGCGAATCTCACTGAGGCCCTTCTGCGTCACCTGGAGTTCCACTCTCCTGGTCTGAAGACGACAGCAATTAAAGCTTCTCTCCCCCTGCCAGGTCCTCAGCCTTCCAGCCTTCCTTTGCTGGGGTCCATCAGGATGTACACCAGGGGCTCAGTACAAATTCAAACTACACCCCAAGATCAGCAGTACTAACTTCCCTTTCCTCCCGCAGGCACGATGTCAGCAGTAAGTCACAAACTTATTTCCCCAAGTTGCTTGGTGTGTACCCAACACAGACACACTGGCACAGCCTGCTGGCTTCCATTCTTCCCTGTCCCCTGAGCATTGATTGAAACCCAGCTAAGCCCGCTGGCTTTAGGAAGCGAGTCTTGAGCGTGTGGAGGTGTGTGGATTCAGATCTCCGCCGCCATCGTGGTCCGGTCCTGTGTGTGCCGCCGCCCCCTGCAGGTGCCATTGAACCCAGAGGCACTTTTGTGACAGAGGACTGGCAGAGGCGCTGCTGCCGCTGCATGAAAGTAAACTCTTCATCCCCACCACTCTGTTTCAGAACAAGAAGAAAACTTTGAGTTTATCATTGTGTCCCTCACTGGCCAGACGTGGCACTTTGAAGCCACCACGTATGAAGAGCGAGATGCATGGGTCCAAGCCATCGAGAGCCAGATCCTCGCCAGCCTGCAGTCCTGCGAGAGCAGCAAGAATAAGGTAAGGCCCTCAGCAGGCTGCCCCCGAAATCAAGGCCACCGATCGTTAAAGGAAAACGAAGGCCCAGAGCGATTCCCCAGGGAGGACAAAAGCATCAGATGACATGCACCGATGACAGGACCAAGCATTCTCTGTGAGTAGAAAACTCAGTAATTGAAAAGATCAGAGCACTCTATGTCTGTCTTCATCATGCACCACGTATTGGGATCCTTGCTTGACCACGTTGTGTGGCAGGACGTCCAATGTGGAGTCTTTATCAGCTGCATCCAGAGAGCAAGCACTGACATTTCAGCGCAGGTGGTGGACGCAGGGCTTCTGTGTCCATACTTATTTTTGTTGCTGTTGTTGTTGTTGTTTGGGGCAGAATAAGTCAGAAAAAAGAGATGCAGACTTAAAAGATGCGCAGTTGTATTCTCATGAATAGTGCAAAGCCCAAGCCAACTTGGAAAAGCCATACTTGTTAGGAAACAGACATGGAAGGGAGCTGAGAGAGAACGGCACACAGGGAGTTCTGGCAGAGTAGAATTTTTGTTTTCTAAGCTGCTGATAAAGCTGATGTGTGTGCAGTTCGGTAACTAAAGGTAATTGCTTTGCAGTTACTTAGCAAAAATGTATATATTATATATGTATGTGCCTATATTTTCTAAGCTTCTGCTTACTTAGTGATGGATACTCCTTCTATTGAAGTTATTTACAGTTCCTTCACTTTTACTGTTTCAATGCTTGAATGTTTTTAAGTCCTTTGCTGGGACATTGTAGTCTCTCGGGGAGCATTTTGCGCTTTTGCAAACCGATCAACTAGAAACTGAGAAAGAAGCATTGCCCACCACCCTGCAATTGTTGTAACCATTGAAAGAAATTTCTGCTGGTGATTCATGGCCAGCTTTGTCATTAAGAAGGGAGTCTGTCTTTCAGAAAGAGAGGGCGTCTTGTTTTATTACCCTCTTTAACCAGGGTAAACCAGACCATAGCCCTTAGTATTATGTAGCTTGTGTCCCCTTTGGAAGATGCTTTGCACCCGAGGTGGGAAGAACCACTGTGTTTTATTCTGAGCCACATCCACATGTAGCCACGCCGTCACTGTGCAAGCGAACACGGGAAGCTTTTGACCACTCTGTCAGTGGGGAGCCACAAAACGCCATGCACCAAGCACAGGGACCTAGCGTTGGCGCAGGTGGGAGGACATGTGCCTGTGGGCACGTCAGAGTTGACACAGAGAGGCAGGTGGACCAGCCGTGGAAGTTACACAGCCACAAAGAAAGAGCCAGGCAGACAACTCACCGTTCCGTAGCAGGCCACTAATTGGGTTACATCCAAGAGTCTGACGTGAAATGGTTGAACTCATAAAGAGCTCTTACCCCAAAAATCTAGTTTATTCTGTGTGCCTCCCTGAAATTGATCTATTTTTGAATGAATTGTAATATTGAAAGCATATTTAACAAATCAACCTTAAAAACCACATATGCCCTTTTTACCTAAGTCCTCCCTTTCCAGTCCCTAGAAAATAAGCATGAAGGTGCGTAAAGATGGAGCTATAAACAGGGTTTACAGCGCTGTTTAGGGTAGAGGAAGACTGGCGAACTGAAACATCCACCAGAGAGAACTTGGTAAATAAGTCCTCAACAAGTGGAATTCTTCACTGAAAGTGGTGAAGTCAGAAAATATGTCAAGACAAACAGATGGCGTTAGGCTAAAAATAAAGTCAGGTTCCAGAGACTATGCTGAATCTCTTAAAAGTGCACACCTGAGTACAGGTGTGCTTAGCAGAAAGCTCAGAGCGACGGATATCAAAGTGTTAATTCCTAAGTGTGGTGATCATAGAATAGTTCTAAATCATGCCTTTCTCCCTCTAGGCACCTAAACTCACCGCAGTGAGCATGTATTTTTAAAATCCCTTCCAAAAAGAACCATAAAGTATAAGTTTTAAAGAGTAAGTGCCCCCCCCCCATGCACTCACCTTTTTCTCTGCCCCGACTCAGGTTAGTGACTTTGTTGCTGTCACCACCAAGAACTCCTCAAGTGGACAGTGGCTCTCCCAGCCGGTGGCGGGAGGCCTTTCTTATGGGGAACCATAGGGTTGTGTCCTCTGGTGCTGATTAAGCCCTGACCCTTGACTTATAAGCACACTTTTTTCCTCATTCTTTAATCTTCAATCCAAGAGCAGGGGAGGTACATTAACAAGTCACCTTCTCCAGGTGGCTGAGGTCACACAGTCAGGGACTTTGCTTTCTGCTCCTGATGGGCAGAGGGTATCTCAGCGGATACATCCTGGTCTGTGACGTTTGCCCCTCGGCCACGCTCTTCCCTGACGCTGTACAGAGAGGAGCAGTTGCTTGACACCTGCCCTTATCCCATCCCCGTCCACCATGTCTGCTGTTCTTCGCTCACATGATCAGAAGAGGGGTTCGTTCCTGCCGGGCTGCTCACACATTGCCCTGTCTCCTTCCTCCATCCCCAGTCCCGGCTGACCAGCCAGAGCGAGGCCATGGCCCTGCAGTCCATCCGGAACATCCGCGGGAACTCCCACTGTGTGGACTGCGACACCCAAAGTAAGTACCGGACACGGCGTGGACCCGCCTGTCACATGCGGCGGAGTTTAAATATTTCTGTTTGAGTTTTGCTGTAACGCAGTGCCCTCACACAGCCTTGCTGGCACAGGTGTGTGTTTGACACTCTTGAGCACTCCCTGAGTCTCGTTTTTGCCTGGGCGTCAGACGGAGTCTGCCTTATGCCCATGTCTTGTGTCGTTTCTGGGAGGTGGAAGTGTGTTTGATTTTTCTTCAGTAGAGTACAGTTGGCTCATTCCTGCGCAAAGGTTTCTGTGTTTTTGTTGGTGTTATTACTGTTGTTCTTTAATTTCAAAATAATGTTCTGAGTTTTGCCACCAAATGACTTTTTCATTTGAAATTTGCTGTGCCCTGAAGCATTTGATTGAACCAATAGAATGTGAATCATTGCTTTATGCTTTAGAGTAACCCAATCTTACGTTGTACTTTCTGTTGTCCCAAAGTAATGTTCCCTTTGAGAGAATCACTTAGCTGTTTGTACTGACATTCCTTGTTTAACAACTGAGTTGAGTTCCTACAACCAGGTCATTAGCTGAATTATTTACTGAATAAAGGATTATACAGTATATAGTATGTGCATTACAACATTCAGAATAAAGAAGTGGCCAAGGGAAACTCCAGCTTGATGACTTTGCTTTTATTTGCATAACTCTTACATGCAATACTGTAATATATAACGGAACATAAAACTAGAGTTCTGTGCAGTATAGTCAGCAAAAATTACAGTACTGCATAAACAAGAAGTACTGTACCAAAAAAAAAAGATACTAAGGTTCTATAAACAAGAGGTATAGAACCATACAAAAAAAAAAAAAAAAACAAGTTTAAGTCCAAGTGGCAGGTCATAAGTCCAAATAGTCATTAGCCAGGTAGGTCTTTAAATGAGGAATATCTGTATTATTGAGGGTAGAAACTGACTTTTCATGCCTTAAATCCCAGCCTCAAGAAGTCGCATTCACTGAACTCTGTCCATTCTGATTTTTTAGCATTTTGAGGGGAGGGAAATCCAGCTGAAATAAGTCCCAGCACCAGGTTAGGTGTTCCTTGACCTGGGTGGGCATGGCCATCCTGGGGCCCAGGAGCACACGACCAGCGCCATGGAGAAGGACCAGTCGGGTCACTCACTGCAGACTTCCTGCAGGAGTTGGCATTTGAGTGGAGCCCTGAGGACAGGAAGGGTTTGTATAGGTGAGGATGGCTGCAGAGCCCACAGTCCCGGGGTACACTCAGGGAAAGAGTGGCCATGCAGGCTGGACCAGGGTTCGAGATGGGTTGGGGTGTCAAGGCGAGGTATTGAAGCCTTTGTTCCTCATTGTCAGCAGAGGGAAGTAGGATGTCAGAGCAGGAAGAGGTGTGTCCTGAGCTAAACTGGGCAGACTGACCCCGCTGTCCATTTCCAGTAACCTGAGAGAGAACACAGCAAGGAGGAGGCTGCCCAGGATGGGTTGTGGTCACCTCCACGGGACGAACAGAGCACCAACCCCAGGTCACTCCATGCAGAAGGGAAGGGAGGAGCCATCCCTGAGGGTCCACGGATTGGCGGGCCTGGGAAGGGGACACCTTCCCCGGGGTCTGCCTCACTGCTGTCTTCTGTCCCCACCCCTGGAGCCCTGGCCAGTGCTGCTCTTGTGCTGCCTTCTCCCACCGCGTCGCCTAAAGGTGCCAGGTACCCTGATGTCTGGGGTCCTGACCTTTTCCTCTTCGTGGACCCCATGCCTGCACACTGGAAGGTTCTGGCACCCACCACCTCCAGGAAGCCCAGCAGAACATGTCGTAGGAGCCTGAGCTGCCTGTTAGTTCTCTGCTTGCCCTGCAGATAGAAGCATTGTTGTCCAAAGTCCTCAGGGCTTTGCCCCTGTGTCCCCTCTCGAAGAGGCCGTCCCTGACGACCGTGTTTGTTTATACAGATTTTGCTGGGGCTGGAACCCAGGGCCTCATGCATGCTCATGCTCGACCAGTGCTCTACCACGAGCCTCCTGCTGGCCTCCCCGGGCCGGGTTTCAGTTGCTCCCTGGGACTCACGTGGTCCTCCTGCCTTCTGACGCCTCGTGTGGATTTCTCATTTGTCCCTTCTTGATCTGCTCCACAGAAGCCCCGTCCTAGATTGCTGAGGATTTGTTTCTCCCTGCTCACCGCTCTGTCCCTAGAAGCAGCCACGTTAGCGTTGTCTGAATACGAGAAGGAGCAAAGTCATTACAGCCAACACCTCGTGGCACCGTACTTCCCACGTGACGGCCACTGCTGAGCACCTCCTAGCTTTCAGTCTTCGTGGCAGCCCCCAGGGATAGGGATTATCGTCCTCCCCTCGGGATGGAGCTGAGGTCCCGACAGCGAGGAAGCTTGCACAGGGCAGACCCAGGCGAGCAGCCATTCAGGAGGACCCCTGGGAAATTCGGAGAAAGGTCCTGAGGGGCTGTTGGCAAACGGGCGTTCAGCAGAGTGCAGAGGGAGGGGCCGGTCCAGCCTGCGGGAGGGCGAGGAAGAGATGGCTTACGGGACCCTGGGACACAGCCATGCGGTAGGTGGTGGCTTTGGCTGCCATGTCTCAGTGGACCACAGAGATAAAGGCTGCATTTCAGAGGACAGAGATAGCGCAGAGATAGCACAGGCCTGGGAAGGGAAGGTAGGGACCAGACAAGAGCGGTGGTCCGTGCCACCCTTTCTGTAACACCCCACAGGGACAGCCTGACCTCCACCACATGGGCTCTGCTGCTGGCCCCTGCCCCTGGGCATTTCCTCTTTTGACTATTCTCTTTTTTTGGTGTGGAGTCTGCATTTCTTTGTTCTATTTCATTGTGTTGCTTGTCTGGGGCCTCGGTTTCCCCTTCCCAGCCAGAATGTCTCCAAAGGCACAGACCACCCCCTCTCCCGCCCGCTCCGTGGCATCTGCCGGCCGCTTGGTGGGAGCACGTGCTGGGTGCTGAGAAAGTGGCTGGCTGGCTTTGATCCCTGCCTGTAGGGCCATTCCTGCCCATTGCGCAGCAGGGACGTCTCCCCAGGGAGTCAGGCATGACTCCAGCCACCTGGTTTTCCGTCAGCTGTTGTAGTGAACCTGGAGTGAGTGGTGACTGTCCCTAGTGAGCTAAGCTATGTTTCCTCCTGTCAGTGCTGAAGGCCATGACCGTCAAAGTCCGCCCTGTCTTTGCACGACAGCTGTAACTCATTCTAGCACAGAGCCAGCCTGGGCCTGAGTTCCTGGTCTGCTGAGGATGTCGGCCAGTTCCAAACACTGACGCTCACTGCCTCTGCACCGGCTCATTGTCCCTGGAGCAGTAGTGCAATGTAGACTGTCCCCCTCCCGTGACAGACCTCCAGGATGGAGCTGGCCAGAAGCAAACCATAGGATGCTGCCCCAGCGTGGCCACCACGAAGCATGGCGCTCTGTGGGCTGCAGCTGTGGTCCCACTGAATGAAGTCCCTCACATCGCGTTTTCTCATCACCTCACTTTCATCTCAGAAATCTGCACACGCTCCCATCATGGGCCTGAGGAAAACCCCATGTAGCAGAAATGGTTTTGAGGGAGGTGATGGCTTCAGGAATAACCTTAGCCACGTTGTCAGCAGCTGCCTTTCTCAGCAGTCGACACCAAGCAGCGTGTGGTTTTTCCCGTGTGCGCCGGCCCTCGCCCGGTGGAGGCTGGTGTTTGTCATGGAGAAAGCACCTTTCTGTGCACACCAGCACGCACAGTTGTTTATTAGACAGGGACTCCACAGCTTTGGTGTAAGCCAGATTTTCTGCAGCTGACACTAACATGCCCAATCTTTCTAGAGACCTAAAGCCTCAGTGAGTTTTTAGCGGGCCAGAGAGCATGTGAAGTCATGTGACTGTGGGGAGGGGCTGCCCCCCTGAGGTTTGGCCAGTTGGTTGTTGCTCAGATTCCCAAGCCACTGGGAAAGAGTGGAATGGTCTGACTGTGTGTGACCCCTCATTCTCTTCCCCTAGACCCTAACTGGGCCAGCTTGAACTTGGGGGCCCTCATGTGCATCGAGTGCTCGGGGATCCACCGGAACCTGGGCACCCACCTGTCGCGGGTGCGCTCCCTCGACCTGGACGACTGGCCCATCGAGCTGATCAAGGTGATGTCGTCCATCGGGAACGAGCTGGCCAACAGCGTGTGGGAGGAGAGCAGCCAGGGCCGGACGAAACCCTCCTTAGACTCCACAAGGTAGGACCCGCGGGTGCCCCTGGGCGTGGCCGCAGGGACAGCCACGCTGGGCATGGCCTGACCTGTGGGGTGCCCCCTCGCCTGCACGGAAACACCCATGTCTGAGGTTGGCCTTCGGCAGCCTGGGTGATTCAAACCCCTTAATTTTTTGTTTGTTTTTAGGCCTTGGGGATCTCTCTCCCGCTCTTAGAAACCTATTAAGCTTCTGACCTTATGAATATATTACTTTAATTAATACATTTCTAATAGGCATAAGCTGTGCTAACCCCAATTATGCATTTTCGATTCTTTCATTTTGTTATTGTATCTGTGGTAAGCATCTGCTCCCCCTCCCCCCACCAGCAAGTGAGTGTATGGTAAGAAAATGTATTTTATTTTTGAAAATGTGTTTCTGACACACTTAGAAACTCCTCATTAATGTTAATTGTTATCCAGTGTGAAAAAGCACCATTTATTTGGAGGCCATTTAGTTTCTCATTTTTCATGTATAGCTCTTGGAAACGGGTTGCGAGGGCACACACGCATATTTCACGCTGCAAGGTGGCGGTGAAGCAGCATGGGTTGCAGAGGGCTGGTTCCTGCCCACGGAGGGCACGGTTCCTCTGTGGGTGTAAAACGGGCGGTCCCCTGGTGCTCGGGAGCTTCCTGTTTCCTGTCACGCGTAGGAAGCCAGGCCCTGAGGGTCTCATCCGGCAGCCTCTTCTCAGGTGTCCGACAAGCCAAAGGGAGAGGAGATGATGCCCATCATGAGCACATGTTAGGTTTCTTTGATTAGTTTTGCTGGTGATCAGACGGAAAGTCTAAATGGTAATCAATCCTTGGTTGAGCTGCAGAAATCGGTTTCCACCACTAAGCAATAATCACTGGCGAAGAGCCGGTGGCCTTGATTTGACAAACGCTGCAGAATGGATGAATGTGGGGCGCCACCTTTGGTGGGTGGAGAGAACGCAGCTGGTGTTTTCTGCAGCCCGCTGGTCCCACCGGGCATCTGTGGGAGGGGCAGAAAGTGGATTTGTTAAAAAGATTTACACTCTACAGTGTAGATGTGAGTAACTTTCTTATAAACCAAAGGAAAGAACTCTTACCCTGATTTGAACATTAACATAGAAATCAGCTAGGTCATCAACTGTAGAATCCTTAAAAATACCAAATCATATTGCAGTATCAGTTTTTGCATAGATACAGTATCATGGAATCTCAATGCAAGATGATTGGAGACTAGCGTGAAGTTGGTGTACGAAGGAAGAAAACGAAATAAGTTTAAAAACCAACTTTATGCAGCTCGTGCTTTAGGTTCAAAAGGAACACATATACTATTTTTTTTAATCAGAAGGGGTTTTTTTACCTGTGAAAATTGGAAACTATTGGGAGTAGTGGGTGTAACTCAATAGCAGAGCATTAGCCTGGCATGCTGAAGGCCTTGGGTTCAATCCCCAGTACAGGGGGAAAAAACCCAACGAGAATGATTAGAAACAAATATGTGGGTTTACACTTAGATGTTAATTTCGTCTTTGGTGTAAGTGAACACTCTACAGGTATTTTATAGCTTTAATTTGCATATTTAAGCTCTTGAGTTTGTAGCTTTCGGTTCCATCTAGAATTGTGTACGTCATATCTTTACAGTTTAGAGATGTTCTGGAGTCTTCCTCTCACAAACGGGGTGACTGCGGTTGAGTCCCTTCCTTTGGTGGTCATACTGGCTTCCTGCACCCAGCTGCAGTTCCCCTTACACAGTGTTTCCAAAGGTAAATTTTGAATTCCTAGGTTCCGTCGTCCACCTCCAAGAAAAAAGCATGCATGAGAATTGAATGTTTCTTTGGGCCTTGAATAATTCCCTCAAGGAGTTTTGCTTTCGATTCAATTTAGCAAATGTTCATTGAGCACTTTCTCATACAAGAGAAAGAATGAGTGAAAAGTCTGACTTGGCTATGAGAGGTGGACATTCTTAGGGCCCACTGAGGATGCCTGGGTTTGGTAAAATTCAGAGAGGGGAGGGATTCTTACATCCAGTGTGCTCTGGAAAGTTTCCCTGGAGAAAGGGCAGCTGAGCTGGTCTCTGAAGTATGGAGTGACCTCCAGGGCCAGGGGTGGGGTGGAGAGATAGGCCCGGGAGGTTGGAGTGGTCTGAACAAAGCTAGGAATGCACTGGACAGACCCAGCTTGAGGACAGATGTGCACATCAGCATGCCTGTCCCCAGGAGGCTGGACTTGCTGGTGCATGAGGAGCATGGTAGGTGAGGTATAAACCAAGCAAAGGCTTGGGAGGACCTCTGAGCCTCGGTAACCCACAGACACACACTCTGGTGGAGTATGGGGGATGGTTTGATCTGTTTCGTGTTCATTGTATGCCACCTGTTCCCAAGAGGACTACAGTCAGCCAGCTGGGTGTGGAAGGTTCCGAGATGAAACTAGAGGCCACTATGGTTGTTAGGGTTTGTGTCTGGATGTCTCCCCAAAGCCTCATGTAGTCGTGGGGGACAGGCTTCTCTGAGGTGGCTGAATCTAGGGTTTTTGGTTGATTCATAATCCAATGCTGGGATTAAGGGTGTGAGTGCTACACTCAGGGCAGGTAGCCTGCAAACAATGTAAGGGACAGAAAAAGTCTCTCTCCCTCTTGTTGTTTTTGCTGTCTTCCACTGCCGTGAACTGTTGCCCCTCTGCCACACCACCCTGCCTTAGAGCCAACCTATTATGGACTGAAACCTCTACAGACTATGAGCTAAATAAACCTTTCCCCTTTAGCTTTAGGGGTTGGGGTATTTTGTCTCAGCAACGAGAGGAAAATAACTAAGACAGTGACCCAGGCAGAACATAGAGGACGCCTTAGAAACACTATCCCAAGCAAACAGCGACACAGCCTGACAATACAGGACCAACGCAAACACCCGCTGCCTTTACCACCTCCTTCAGTATGTCACCATCCCCACAGGGCGTGCCATCCCTGCATGAGAACAGAGATCCACTCTGGGGCCTGCCTCTCCAACACGCCCCCTCCGCCTGCCCTGGCAGCTCCTTCCTTCTGCAGAGCTGGGATGGTCAGCACGAGCAGCCCAGGGCTCTTTTAATGTGGCCCAAAGGTAATACCCAAAAGAAAGTGTTTCATAAATGTTTATGTCTATCCAAGGAAAAGCCAAGTCCAGTTCTTCTCTTCGCAGAGGGGCCCAGATGTTCTCTCAAGGAGCTCTGGTTGTTCCCATCTTGTTCAGAAGATTTATTGTGACAGTGGAATAAAATTAGAAATGTGCCAGTCTCATGAACACACAGACACACACACACACACACACACACACACACATACACACACACACACAGATTGGAGGACCATGGGGAAGAGGAACACAGCAGATCTTTCTCCAAAGAAACAACCGGTCCCCAAACTAGCACACATTAGCGTCACCCAGGCCTGTGGGCAGCTGAGGAGACAGGCGCCCAGCACAGCTGGCTGGCCTTCTGCCTGCTGTCCCCGCACCCCCATTAGGGCAGCTCCGGAGAGCTTATAATTGGTTCCAGGATTCTCAGCTGCTCTGAGAACTGCCGTTCAAACTTGAGCAGCATCGTGATCAATCGAAGCTGACGGCGGCTGAAGCACTATTGACTTCCCCTTCCTAAACAGGGGAATCATTAGTCAAGGAAAGCATCTTTTAATTACTCCCAGGAAAGGGGAAAAAAATCTTTTTGGATGGATTCTGCAGCCGCTGACATTTTTTTCCAGCACATTCGATATTAAATTTATTGTCGCAGGAGGGGAAAGGATGTCCTTCATCCCCCCTCTGTAATGGGGGTTTAATTTGGAGAAAGAATCACGTTAGAGGAGAGATCGATGGGACAACAATTAACTACATCTGGGGTGGAATCAGAATTCCCCTCTCTAATTGCTATTGATACCATTTAAGCACACACTTAAAATATTGATTTTAAATGGGAATGGTTAAGTGGTGTAAAGGTAGGAAGAGTGGGCAGAATTAACTGGATTTTAGGGTTAAGGAGCGAGTTTCTGTGTTGGACCCTGATGGGCTGTGCTGCAGGGTGGGACCTGGAGCCACCAGGCAGGCAGGCAGGGCTCTGGGTTCCTGCGTGAGGACATGGATAACTGTCGCCTACAGGGAGAAAGAAGTCTCAGAGCTCCTTGATGGCCGCTCCAAATGTGAGAATAATAAACTCAGAGGTAGAGGCATTGCAGCAGCCGAGTGAACATTTCTTGAACAAATGAAGGAGAAGGGGGGAGGTGGTCATCGTGTCACACGTGTCAGGTGTCCTTGTCATATCAGGACCTCAGGATTCCCCATGTGTTCATGGAAATGGGGGCACAAGCAAAACCGCCGGGGGCCACTCAGCAGCACCGTGACCCTGAGTTGGTCTTTGTCGTCACCCCGCTTCCACGCAGGAACCCCATGGATTGACCGTAGTGAAAATCATTTCCTCCCAGGCCCTAGCAGAGCCCTCCTGGCACAAGCGCCCTCTGCTTGGCTACCTGGGCCCCTTGCGCCCTCTTTGTGCCCCGCCTGGAGGCATCTGGCCAGGGAGGATCTGCAGCGACCTCGCTGTCTGCATTTCCAGGCAGGTAGCCTATTTACGCAGTGCTTGGGACCCTGCTGAGGTAGGCTAGGAAATCAAAGCAACCTGGAAGTGCAGAACTGTTTCCATTTCCATGAAAGAGCTCTTGAGAGAAGCTCTCAAATCACCCATTCCGTCTTTGATGCACTCGGAAGGGAACAGTTGGCTGATTTAGTACACATTCTTTTCCCTTTTTTAGCATCCTTTTTTCCTTTTTTTTTTTTTTTTTTTTAAATATTATTTGTAAGTTCACCTCCCTGCCTAAACTCCCTTCTTGTCTCTAACCTATAAAAAGATGTCACCTTCGATAGGAAGATGAGGGCCCACATCAGAAACCTGCGTGGGAGAGACTGGCCGCACTTCCAGACGGAAGCAGTCCGCCCGGCGCGGGGAGTGCCAGCTCCTTTTGATTCCACAACGCCACTTTCATCTTATTTATGCACATG